GGTTGGTTCCATAGCTTAGCTATTGTGAATTGAGCTTCTATAAACACCGATGTGCTCTGTCACTATAATATGCTGATTTTAAATCCTATGGATATATATTGAGGAGTGGGATAGATGGGTCAAATGGTGGTTCCATTCGTAGTTTTCTGAGTTATCTCCATATTGCTTTCCAAAGTGGTCGCACTAGTTTGCAGTCCCACACATCCTCGCCAACATTTACTGTTTCTTGTGTTCTTGATAATTGCCGTTCTGACTGGAGTGAGATGAAATCTCAGTGTCATCCTGTTTTGCATTTCTCTAATTGATCAGCAATTTCTTGAATCCACAAATGTGGAGACTTGGAGTACAAAGAACTGGCTGCATTTACCTTAACCCCCTGGATGGGTTGGCTGGGGGGGTCCCGACTGGACCACACAGCTCAGATTCGTGAACGCTAGTTACGGCCTGAACATCTATGACTAGTGCGGCCAGTTAGCAGCGCTTGCTCAATGCTGCCAGCCTGGTCCGCCTTCTGGTCCATGCATTTTATTTCTGAGTAAAGAAATGGATACATGACATGTGGTGTGGGTGGCCTGGAGCAAGTGAAAAGGAGCTATCAGAGAGTAAGAGCTTGAAAGAGGCTTAAGCACCATGATGAGGAGATGATTCACATGTCACCACCTTCCCTATGAGTATCTGTGATTGTTTCTAGACTGGATTTCCCTTTTCCTCTGCTTCTTCCACTTGTCATCAGATCTCAGCTGGATACACCTGGAAAATAAGGAAATGTTCATGTAAGCATGAAGGGATGATTTCTGAGGCTAAGCCAAAGACACTAATGCTTTCATTTTTCAGAACCCTGAGAAGGATAATTTTATTACCACAAAATAGAAATAAAACTGGAGGAGGCAGGGGGCAGAGAAAGTCTTCCTTCCTTCTCCCTTTATTTGGATCTCAGACCTCCAAGAATTTCCCAGGACTGGCCACGAGTTGGATATCTATTTGGGGACTGGGTTCCTCATTTTTCCCATTTGGTTTAATTGCCCTCATCCTTCATTTCCAATTCTAATCAATTGAAAATACACTTATTTTTAAAAACAGAAGAAAATTTAATATGTGGGTGAAAATTCTCAACCGCCATTTTTTTTTTCCAGAATTTTGAAAATCTATTTGATGACAGAGTTTTCAGAAACAGGCCCAGGGTCATAAAGAGATATGTAGACAGTTTCCACGACTACGTAATGAGGGGATCCCAAGTCTGCTGAACCAAGAGTCTCTCCTTGTTCACACTCCTTCTTCTCACCTCTCTTCCCAACTGGGCCCTGGTCTTTGGGGAACATTTCCGCTTTGTCCAATTTTAGCAAGCATCCTGTCAAGTCTAGTCACAGCCCCCAACTTCATATCTGACCCCTCAACATCCGCGTTGCATGGCTCATCCCCCACCATCCTGCAGGGGTGACTCATAGGTGACAGACGTGAGCAGTGGGAACGGGAGGCTAAGGGGGTTGTTCTGTACCTGGGCCTACTGTGCTGACCTCCACATGCTTATTTTGAGAAAGCAATGTACCTGCAGCCCTGTCCTGGCTTAAGTCGAAGGGGTCTTGCTACATTCCTCAACAGACAACCTGTCATCTGCCTGAGAAATGGAAGCCCAGAGGTTCCTCCCTGTCAGTAAGAACACAAGTTATCCTCAGAACAACCATTGAAATCTGTAAGAACAAGACCCGATTAGAACCAGTCAGCCAGGGCCGCGGTGACTGAGTCGCCTTGCATCTTCAGCGTGTCTCCCCTCCATGGGGTCAGACCATGTGCAGGGGACTTGAAAGGCTGATGCAGTCCTGCTGTCAGTCAGAAGTCAAGAGGCGGACCTGGATGGGACTCTCTGGAAGCTTCCTTGAATTCCCAATAAAAAGGAAGGCAGGAGGGGCGGGCCACCCTTCTCCCAAGAGGATCCACCCTTTCCCGCTTTCCTTTTCCCTTTTCCTATTCCTTCAATAGACTCATTACTGCTCCTCTGAGCCACAGGTTTGAAATCTCCCTGCCGTCATTGCAAGGATGGGGTGAAGAAGGGGCCTCTGGCTGCCTTGGCTCAGCATCAGCCCTTGCCCTGTAACAGTAGGATAAAATTGGATCCCTTACCTGGCTCAGAGCATCCACTGTCAGGTAGCTGGTGGAGGATGTCAGGAGGTCTGAGGACACATTACCCCAGTGTAACCACGAGATCACATCAGACAAGGCCAAACTGTGGGACATAACGATTGTCCATGCTCTTTAGAAGTGCAGAGTCCGTGAAATCAAGGAAAGGTGGAGAAGCTGTTGCAGACTGAAGGCGGCTAAGGAGCTAACACAGCTCAAGGCAATGTGGGATCCTGGACGGGCTCCTGGGACAGAAACAGGACATTAGTGGCAAAAATCAGTGACATGAATAAGTTCTGAACTCTACTTAATAGCATCGTGCAAAGTTAATTCTTACCTTTTATAAATGCTCTATGGTGTGTATGTAAGATCTTAACCAGGGGAGCTGGGTGAGGGGTCCACAGGAACTTCCTGCTGGATCGCTTTTGCTATTTTTCTGTAAGTGAAAAAAAAAAAACA